AACATCTATTAGAAAAGGGGCCACTGTTATTTTTTTTAATGTACAGATTTTTTTAGTAGAGTATTGAACTTCACTGCTAGATGCCACTAAATCCTACACACTGGTGCTTTAAATAACTGGTTAGCTGATGCCCATTGCTCCAAAGTCTGAAAACCAAATTAGAAAATAAAGTGAAAAGCAGTACATAGACTTTACTGAACCTTTATTTTCAGGGATGCACTTGATTGGCTTTATTGGCTTTATCATTTCTGTGAAATGTGGATGAAAGTGTTCATGGACTACATTTTTTAAAACGGTGTTCGTTATTGATCCTAATAGAAATTCGTCCTTCATGTTCTTGGGAAACTGTTTGAAAGTTTTGAATGTGATGCGTTGTTCGGTAAATGAATCTTTGGCCTTCAGAGTCATCTTTTGTCTTCCACATCACTTGTGGCATCCTTGATATTTTGTGTTCACACAATCTCCACAACTTTTTTAATGTGCCCTAATCAACAGCCTTTTGTTGTGGAACCGTACTGAAATTGTTAAAGATGACGTCAAACATGACTGACTGTCTCCCTGCTCATTGTTGTGCCATTGTCACAGCGCTGTGGCCCTCAGGAGACGAGCAGAGGTCTGTATTATTACATTTGGTATTAGGAAAACTTAACCAGGCAGTATCTCCTCTCATCTTAACTGCAGTGAGTCAATCATCATATACGTTTTTGCCCATTCATATTCATTATATTGTCATGAGACTGGGACTATTTTTTCCTAGGTCCTTCAGTTGTTCGGTTCCACGGACTGCTATAAAAGATTGATATGGAGTTGGGGTTGGTACCAAACTTCAACACTTTAGTCGGTGCAGCGGAAACAAGTTGTGGACACACAATGTATATATGATCAACTGGGTTGATATGGCGGGCTTGTTTATTTACTCATCCAGTGTTTACAGAGCAGCATTATCATTTATTTGGAGTCTGTGTTTCTGGCCAAAAGTCCAATATTCACTCTTTCCTGAGGGAAATATCTGGTTGGGGGGAAATTACTACCAAATGCTGCTAGAGTTGTTCTGATACCAATACCAGTATCAGAGGAATTTCAGATACTGCTTAAAATGTGGTATCGATTATTATGAGTACACATGTCTGTGCACCGATCCGATATCACGTAATTTATTAGCCCCAAAGTGGGACCCCGCTATTATTTTCCCCAGCATTGCAAAGTCATAACCCACTCTACACTGACTCTGAGTCACTAGTTGCTAGTCACTAACTGTGTCTGTCTGCTGTTTGGTACTGAGAAGGTAGTGCACAGTGGGGTTCTGTGGCTGAAAACACTATAAAAATTGTGAGAATGAAAACCAAACAGTAAGCTAACAAGAGCTGTAGATTCAGGCTCATTACTGTGTGACCCCTTTCTCATTATCTCATTTCTCATTTTTTTGTCATGTAATAAGTCTTTATATAAAATAGCCACTACATTATTATTGAATACATACAGTTTTAATACATTGGAGGAATTTTGCATTGCTGCCTCCCACGGTGTTTTTTTCTTTTCTTTTTATGTCGCCAGTAGGGCGTGCTGAAGTGAAAATGTTCAAATCCTGCCCAGCGAGGCTTTAACATCCTTCATACTATTTAAAAGTCAGTGTTTTAATTAAGAGCTGAGTGAATAGATCTTAAAAGTTCATTGAGATTGATTTCACAACGTTCCCTTGTGCCTTGATCCACTTTGCGATCGAGCTGATTGGCCGCCATTCAAGCGGCGTTCTTCAACAAAACATTTCTCAGTAAAATTTCAAACAACTCTCAACCAAATTCATGTGGAATCGGAAGACCCCAGAGACATTTGCATTGATCAAGGATTTACTTTCACACACACTCCCCTTCTTTCACTGGCTGTGATTCAAGGTCTTTTTGGCTTAGCTTCTAATTCCTGCTCTACTGTTGGAGGGTTCAAACACACCCAGGGCCGCATTTCTAATGAAACTCCCAGGGCCAGCCAGCATCCCCTTTCCTTGACTTTTCTTGTGTTGCAGACTGGATTACACTACTTCAACAACAGCGGAAACAGAGTTTATTACCCTCCCTGTAAATATTTATGTTTATGTGTTGCAGAAAAGTCATCATGTGATGATGGGTAGTTCTTTCCCATGCAGACTGATTTTCTCTTTGACTTGATGCTTTCAGTTTTGGAAATCTCTTGCATCTAAGACCTATTCCTTCATACTGTGGGCCATCAGCTTAAGCAGCACTGGCATGTTAATACTGCTGGCAGATTCTTTCTTGCCTCACGACAGGCGCTCAGCTCATCCCTCATCACACAAGGTTCTCTCTTCAGATCTCCTCGTCTTTCTTCCTTTCTTCCTTTCTTCCCGGATCTCACACTCGTTTTCATACCTGCTAGTAATCGTCACATGGTGAAGCATTTTACTTACCTTGATTTTTATCCACTGTCTGCACAGCTTGTTCATCATGTCACCCATGTTTACTGACAGTCTGTGTTTGCTTGTCCACACGCTCATCCTCTTGGTTTGCTGATTAAAAGTGGGCTGTCCTTATCCAGAGAGGCTGAGTAAATCCCCCTGTAACGAGGGGGATCAGCCGACAGAGCACTGGCTCTAATCTGGCTAATGATGTCAAATGTAGACATGGTAAAGGGTTACAAATACATTAACATGTAACCTCAGCCAGGACAGCAGAAGGATGATAATCTGCCTTGTCATATTGGTGTTTCAGATGCCATAGAAAACTGGAGAACTAAGGTTAAACTCACTCTTACATGACATCGCTGAGTACATTTATAAATGTCGGCCTCTACGAAAGCAGACAGGGTAAACCTTTAAGGTGCTATTTAAAAAGCTCGTAACAGCAGTAATGTCTGTGTCTTGACTCCAAGGGGAGGATCACATGGTTCACTATAGATTTTAACAAACTACAAATGTTATGACTCTTAAAAACCCTCTCAAATGGCACTGCAGGATTTTAAAAGTGTGAGTTCATCAAGCCAACAGCAATTATATTTTTCTCATCCTGGAAACATTTGATGCTGGATCTTTTTTGCCAACAAAATGCAATGCTGTGGTGTCATCCCTTCTGTGATAATGTTGTTTAATATGATCAACTCTCTTTTGAAGGTATTTATGTCTTCCTAGACAACCATGCAACAAGTTAAAGATAGAGTGGCTTTGTCTGAAGGATGGAACGTTCATGGCCACTGGAAGAGGCTGCTGTGCGCTCTGTCTAAGGTTACATCAGTGGCATCATAGTGAATGTTCCCACCTCTGGCTTATCGAGTGATGAAATGACTCCCCACATAGATGGTCTTAAAGAAACAAACCATGTCAGGTTGTTGGTTGCCAGGTATCAAAATGTTCCTCTTGCTGCTCTTACGTCCCCCTGAGTCCAGATCCTTTCAGATTTTACAGCTTTTAGTTCTTTAAATAGCCTGTAATGAAAGGATAAGGATAGCAATGAAAATATCCTTTTGCTTTTTTCTTTGTTCAATGCGAGTTATTTAAAATCCAGGTGTAAAAAAGGGTGCAGATTTCACATATTTATTGAAACAAATCAGAGCTCAGGTTTTAATTGCCCCATTGGTGTTCCTTAAGAGAATATCCAAGAGTTTAGTTTATACTGACAGTGTCACAGGAAGAGACAATGACTGATAAATTAATCACTTTCTGAAGTCGGTAGTAATTGCATTGTGTCAGTTTATAATAGACAACAGTTAGATTGTTTCATATTTAGTGATAAGACACATCTTCAGAAGCTTATAGAATGAACTCCACAGAATTGTAATGTGTTACTTTGAGATGAGAATTAAGATAACGAGAATTAAGGTGTTGATTTTGAGATATTAGATGTAAAATAAAAAAATTAGCTGCCACCGCTCTAAACTTCTGTACAATCAGGTCTTTGAATAATAATATTCTCATTGTTGCTGCTTTTGTATGACTGTACTTAATTGTCATTCTTTGTTTGATTCCATCTTTGTTTTTGTTTTTTTACCCCTCTTTGTCTCCAGTTGCTGTTCTCCTGAAAGATGACTACTTTGTAAGCGGTGCTGGGCTGCCGGGGCGTTTTAAGGCTGAGAAGATGGAGTTTCACTGGGGCCAGAGTAATGCATCAGCAGGCTCAGAACACAGCATAAATGGCAGAAGGTTCCCCGTAGAGGTAAAGCATCCTGCCACTACAATACACTTTGATAAATGTGCAATAACGAGCCTTAAGGCTCAACGCTGAATGTGAATGAAAAGCCTGGCAAGTTATTGTGGTGTTTTAGATAGGAGATTTTTATAGACAGCAAAAACCCTTCCTAAACTGCAGCATATTTAATATTGGTAATATTGGTAAGCAAATAGATTAGAATTATTGTAAATAATATAGCATTAAGTTAATGCTAGTGAAAGATAAGATACTATCTTGCTTGTAGATCAGGCCTAATTCTTTGTGGCATGGATTCAATAGAAACATCTCGAGCCCAATAGTGGCACATAGTTGGTGCAGAATTGAGGCAGCGCATTGATGCTTCTAAAATCCAGTTTTACCTTATCTCCAAGAAGCACCACTGATGGTTGAGGATTGTTCAGACCTTTGGAAAAAAATTAATTTGCTGTGGTCAAAAGCAATTTTAGGTAAGCTCTAGCTTTCAGAATATGCTGAGATAGACCCATGTAAAAGTTAGGTTAAACAAAAACAGGAGCTCTATTAATAAGGTAAACTCAGCCCTCAAGGTAAGGTAAACTCAAACCCCAAGTAAAAATATACCAATAAGTCAAAATAGTAAATTTTTCAAAAGTATTTCTGCATTGATTCTAGTTGCATGAGAGAATTGTAAACTTAAAGCAAACTTTACTGACAGTTTCCCTAAAGAGTTTAACTTATAAACTCCACAGCTTTTACACATAAGTCAGTTTACTAGAAAATAACACGTAGAAGTAGAAATTAGTGATAAGTAAATAAAATAACTTAAACTTATTAAATAACTCTGATGTCATCAGGGGTTATCTCCCTTTGGGCTTGGTGACCACACATTTATAACAGAAAGCCTGTGTTACAAACTGCCGTTTGAAAGATGTGGGCGTCTACCAGGCAGGGAGGGTCTGTCAAGAAGATTCTTTCGAGTGCTATTATTAGGATAGCATTTCTGGAGGTTCACCCATAATACTATAGGAACAAATAGTGAAGGTATTCAAGGAATTAAGGAACTAACAATGAAAACATTGAACAAAATGGCCAGTTTTATGGCCAGTTACAATATAAAATACAATATACATGTAGTATTGAGTGTACAGAATATTTTTGATTCAGTGTCAAGGATTTGTTGTAGAGTTTAAATGAAATGAGAAATGAACCAAAAGTTTGTACTTTCCTGCTGTTCAAATGATTTTTTTCACAAGGTCGCAGCAGATTTCTTAATGCCATTAAAGACAAAGAGCAGACAAAAGAAAAACAATGGGAGAACATACTGCACGTAATAAAAGAAAGTAGAAAAATAATCACCAACTCTTGTAGCGCAGATATAGAGGGTGTTACGTCTGAAACCTTTTGGTATTCTTTATTCTGGCTCCTGGATTAAAGTGAAAATCCAACTCGTTTTATGTGGTGTGGAGAATTGGTTATTATTCATTATCTAAAATTAATTTGCAAATGTGTCATACTCTTACATTTTGTGGGGTTATATGATTTTTTTTACCACCTCTATTGTCAAATGGTTAATAATTAGTGTAAATATAACTGTGTATAAAAACAGGAAATTGCTGTTGGTATGCTTCTCTGTCCTATCTCCAAACACGCAGCTAGAGTCCTCCTGTGTTTGTTTCTTGGCCCTGTTCTTTGGAGCCCTCTCTGCAGGCATGGCTTTTGATGCTGTATGGCTGAGTAATTAGATTTATTTTTGCCACCTCATTTTGTGTTCAGCGTAGTGTTAAAGGGCACTGGATTATATACAACCATTATAGAGCTGTTGTGCATATGGCTCCTTTGATGGTGTGCTTCTAAATAAGACGATGGAATTCACTTTAATGACCAATTTGGGCAGCTGTTAGAAAAAAAGCTGAGTAAGAACAAGAAAATGATACCCTCCAGATACATCATTTATAGATGAGAAATATAGATTTTTAGCTTTGCATGTCTTTATCTGTAGATCAATATTTTTATATCGACCTCTCTGTCAAAGAACATGGATTCCAAAGCTAATGTGCTTGAAATTTAAAAGAGTGATGCTATTTGTAAACATAAAAAACATAATGATAGGATGGTATGATTGTGTAGTAGAGTAGTAAATAGGATTACAAATTGGTTTGATGCTGATATTTAGTAATTTTACATAGTAAAATATAGTAATTATTACAACTACACAGGGAACACATCCAGCCAACCCAAAACCTGAAGATCTTATGATGCAAATAAGAGTGCATAAAAAATTGTTTTTGCAAGCAAGCAACACGTTGAAATAGATGATAAACATAATGGATAAATGATGTAGTATGAATACAAAGCTTGACCAAACCTGCTGCAGTATGCTGTGTGATGTAGAAACACCACCAGTACATATACAGAAACAAAATTGCATAATCATTTTTCAGGTATTGTTAATGAGGTAGAAGCAATAGATGCCTTTTTTAAGATGTTAATGTGTTTATACTACAATACACACAATATTGTTCCAAGCAGATTATTTTTATATATGGCCTAATACATCTCTGAAGGGAATCTTTAACAGCAAAGAAAGTCTATATAATTTCAGAGGAATTATTTTTTTTATATTGTATTGTTCAGTTTCGATTGTTTGTTTTGTTTTTCTTTATTTTTTTGTAGTTCAGTGTTATCTATCGTAGTAATTTAGACTTCAATCACATCCACAGATATCAGAGAGAAGACGTTATAAGCTGTAACACCTTATTTCCGACTGTAGAAATCTTAGTTATGCTATTGTGTTGTTTTTAACTGTGCTATTTATTATTGATTGCAGACAAAATAGAAAATTTTATATTCTAAAATAAATATGATAAACCCTGTCCATGGTTATACATTAATGAGGTTAAGCAACCTTCAGTTTTAAATGTTTAAATAAATAAATTTGGAAGGATGAAAAAACATTGACTGGTTGTTTTGATGGGGATCAGGCATAAAAGGTCACTTTGTGATCTGAATCTGAATTCATAGCAGCCGCCATGAATGATGCTCTGCCATTTGGATGCAAAGGAGGTCCTGTATATTTTTATATTATTCAAAGGATGGGTGACCCTCTACTTGAACCATTTATTCTGTTAACATGCGTGTCAAGAACATGCAGCCCAGATAGAATTGACTTGACATACGATGGGGATTGAGTTTTCATAAGCGACACTGTGGAGAAATGTTCAAAGAAACGATCACATTAGGAAAAAATAGGGCCAACAAAAGACAGCCACTCATGGCAACTTTAAGAGTGATATTCTCATGGGAACTAGTAGTCTTGAACCTGACTAGAGGAAATACAAAAGGAAATATTCCATCTACGTATGCGTAAAGACAGTAGGTGGTCTGCTTTTTTTTAAATATTATTCGCTTTATCAATAAGTCAGCCTACGTGTATCAAACATGATGTATTATTTAACACCCGGGACCAGAAGGTGAAGGAGTGAAATCAAATGATGAATAGTTGAAGGGGAATATGGTTATCCAGGATCTAGCCTTTGGCCATTTAAATGCTTCATCCTGTAAGATGTGGCATTTTCATATTTCATATTTATGCCTTGACAGAATTTGACGGATTTGAAATTATATTACATCTGAAACCAAACTCTGCCTTTTTATAAATGTTTGTGTTTGATAAACCCAGTGATCTTTTATAGCAGAGGTTGGTTTTTGTTTTGTTGTGTATATGTTTTGTTCTTCGAGAGTTGAAGCAGCATGACCTTGGAGGTTGAGCTCCAGGGCTTATTTGTCTCTGCTAAACAGAGACTGTTTTCCAATCTGCTGTCTAATTATCTCTCCACTCCAAATGAGTCATATTCTGCCCTGAGTCGCTGGTAGCACATTGCATGAAGCATTTACTCTTACAGTGGGAAAGAAACCCTCAAAAGTGTTTATCCTACCTGCCCAGAAGCTTGAAAACACACACAAATAGTTCACACTTACTGTACGTACAGGGGGTGGAAAGACACATTCACTGAGCTGTATTATGGAGCTGCTCTGCCTTTGGAACATGGTCCTGTAAAAAAAAAAAGGAAAGAACCTTTGGGCCGCTCGGCCTGTGGCTCCTGAGCTTGACATTAATCTAACCACGGTATTTTTCGTGGGAGTGAAGTGGGGAAATCGATAGATGGACCACCTGTTCGCTCAAACAGCACAATGAAAAATGAAACAGTGGATTTTTTTTCTGCCTCAGGGTACCATAGGGAGATCTTTTCTAATAATATATTAGGGTGTCACCAAGGTTAGATTAATTATACATGGATTACAAATCACACCTTGGGAAGGGTATGTGTTTGCACCCATTACTGCGGATGTATGAAGTGTTAGGGTGGGTGCCCAGTGCGCACAGCTGCAACAGAAAGTTGATTAGGAATATACAGTAACGGTCTCAGGTAAGTCGAGACTAATGGGGGATGGATATGGCAACACTGAGAGAACACACTCCAACTCATGCAAATAGCAAATTAAGTAAACAGATTTACCAACAAAACATATGCAACATTTGGAAAAAAGACACTGCAAAGACATTAAACACATAGTAAGGGGAGAAACACTTTCACTAATTTGGCAACACAAATGTAGCTGCGCTTAAAATACAGCGATGTGCTATAAATACAGGCATCATAGTACATACAGAAAAAACAACTACAGTAAATATTACCAAGTTGTTGCCACAGTTTGTGACACATGGAAGCCAACAACCCATATGCTACATCGGCTACAAAAGCTACAGCAAGTGTGTGCAGTAATATCTGAATCATGCAATCAGAATTGGTGGATATGTTGTCTTTATCTGCTTGTGTTTTGTCCATTTGCATGTGATAAGTTGAGATAGTGTCTGACTCAGCAGCTATCATAGCATCATGGTGATACATCACCAACACAGTGAATATCATACATTCTTATAAGGAGCCATGTGACTACTGTTACAGTAGCCATGTGTATTTACCAGATATTTGCTCAGTTCCAGTCAGTTTATTAGTATTAGGACAACAAAAAATAGGCGAAGGGGAGATCTTACTGTAGCAAACATTTGGCTGTGTTGTCTCAATTTTAAATGTACATAAATAATAAATACACTATATTTATGTTTACTTTAACGTAATCCACTGTCATCCTATTGTTTTGTGCAGTCCTTTTTCATTGTCTATGAAATTCTCTGCCAGTCATCTGTAATGTGAAAGAACAAGTTTCATAAATTTGTTCAGTAACACCTACTGTACAAATTTTGTGACACTTTAATCTTCTTGAAAATGAGTGCTCTAGCACTTTGTGGGTGCTCAAGTGAAAGGATAAAGTAGATAGCTATGTGTGATTTGAGTGATACTGTTAAAAAAAATACACATTTACCTGTTAACAAAATGCTGTGGTAGCACAGTTGTTGTTAAGAAAGCAAGGAAAGAAGAATAAATTTGAGCTACAGTGATGAATCTAAAATCTCTCTGCACTCAACCTTATTTATTATATTTTTCTTTTCTTGCCTCAATATCTCCCTGTCTTGGGAAATCATGCCAAACATGACTTTGTTTTTCACCTGTTTGTGCTTAAATGGAACTTGGGAATGCAGAGCAGCTTTCAGCACTTGTGCCAGAAAATGAAACAAAACAATTCAGGACTATAAAGTGAATTCAAGAAGGGCTCATGAGATGTGGACAGCATGGGCTGTCTTCTTTCCAGAGAAAACTGGAGGTAAATTATAAAGCTCAAATGTTTTTTTTCTTTTAGTTACCTCCTGATACTTCTGATCTCTCTCAAAGCTGCCGTTGGTTATTGGGGCTCACCATTTTTTTTTTATTTCTTTTTACACGTTTCTCTACATAAGTCAGTATTGTAAATTTTGCACTGACAAAAACAAACATGTATGAACGTGTTTGAATGTCTTAAGACAGCATAAAGATTGGTCTGACTACCTGTCTGTCCTGCTTAAAATCAACAACTTTCAGCGATATCTGTGAAAGTGATTGAAGTCTAAAGGGGATTTGTGTCAGAGCTCGCAAACATACAGTGAAACGAAGCGTGCAATCAAGTTAATCAAATCGCTTTTGGCAACATTTATTTTTATTGGCTGCTATGGAAGTGTTTGATAATTGAATATCACGTTTTCCACTGTGCTGTTAACAAGAGCAGGTCACATGAGCTAATGTCAGTGAGTAAATGAAGCCTAAGGGGGGCAGCTTAATTGGGTGATGTAGTTAATAACATCTGAAGGGTGATGAATGGCCAGAGCTCTTTCTTGCTGAGTTCCCAGACAACAAATTAGTTCAATTAAGGGCTGCAGTTAAAGGAACTCTGAAGGAAACTGATCACTTAAATTCACTTAAATTATCTGGATTGACTCGTTTTGTACCTGGTTTAAGCCTGCGGTACGCATTAATGCCATTTATCCTCGTTTATACTAGATTTATTTTTATGTTTTGCGTCCGTTGTCAGCACAGCCAATTGCAGCTGGGGAGTTCTCGTAATTTTCCTTGGAAAAAGAAAAAAGCCAAGCATAGCCTTTTAATTAAATCAACATCTAGAACCTTTTTCTTATTGCCAATTAACTCGGTTCAGTGACATGAAAGGGTTTTTCATTTTAAAGAGGCTCGCAACAGTGAGATGATGGACAGCTCCAATTGCTACTTTTAGAATCACTTGATGATTTTGATCAGCGCTACTATAATATGTCAGCTTTGAAATGAAAGGGACGGAGGTCTTTTTTTTTATAGGAAACCAGAGCCATGACAGGTATATGATGTATTCTGTGTATGATGGATTTCACATTATATTTCACACATCCTAAGCTATGTTGTGAAATAAGAAGCTATGTTGTGGGTGATTTAAAGTAATTGGGAGCAATGATTAAAAGCCAACCATTCTGTTAGATCTCGCCACAGGAAAAGAGCACAATCCTCCAGTTCTTCCTTCCCTGCTCGTGAAGGCCTGAGGAATGAGATGCTGTATTTCTCTGGCATCCTCCAGGAGTGGCAGAACACAAAAAGGAATGACACAGATTATGAGAGATTTATGAGAGTGATAAATACACCCTCTTTTATGCCCCTCAAAACTGCTTTTCATCAGCTCCTCAGCAGTGTGCCCAAGTGATTGATGACAGAACTGTTCGTTCTCCTTGTCCACTTCTCAAGCTGTTTATGCTCTGTTCCCCATCCCAGATGCAGATCTACCTTTACAATTCAGATGACTTTGACAGCCTCAATGCTGCGATCAAGGAAAGACGCATCATTGCTGCCATGGCCGTCTTCTTTGAGGTAAAGTATCACCAGGAGTGAAGGTCGAGACAAATCTAATCTGAAGAAAACCAAGACTGCACAAGGGCAATTATAGAACATAGACATTTTTATCCATGTTACGGTCAGCCCATCGCTTTGGATGGATGGATTACCATGAAATTCGGTGCAGACATTAATTTCCCCCTCATGATGAATTGTAATCACTTTGATGATCCTCCAACATTTCATGTAGCACTATCATCAGGTGAAACATTTCTCTTTGCCCAGTGCTTTGGTTCAGCCTCGGCTCTACTTGTGTGTTTTTAGTGCTTATTAACACATGTTAACAGACTAACATGCCACAGTAAGATGATGCTTACAATCAGAGCCTCTAGCCTGGCTGTAGCCTTAAAACATACTTTGCTCATGCTTAAAGATACATCCATCATGCCTACAATTTATTTTTCTGTACTGCCAGTGAGGAAAACCTCTTAGTAATGGCTCTCCAGTTCAGTTGTTGGTCGTATTGTGAGAGATAAGTGAATAAATATGAAGAGTGAATAAAAAGAAATGACAAAATTAGTGGGAAATAGGTAATCATACTAACAAAATAACGAAAAATTTAAATAAAGTCAAACCGGATGGAAAAGACATTGTAAAACGATGAGGCAAGTATGATTTAAGGGGGGTAGTTGAAATTGTATTAGTCCAATTATGACAAGGATGAAGATATGAATATGTTCTTGAGGTCAGTAAATGATAGATATGTATTAGAAATTATCTGTGGCACCTGTGTTGTGATAGGAGAGTTTCTTTTTTTACCTAGCTGCTGATGATTTTTCTGTTCTGTTGCACATTGCTTACTGAAATACTACAGATTGTGCCCTGAAGGTCTGCGCACATAAGCTCTTAATGGACAAGAATGGTCCTAATTTCTGTTAACTGTAAAACACCTTAGAGATTTATGAACCGTGAAAAAGCGCACACCGGCAACACTGACAGCCCCACGGTCCCTCTCTCCATGTTAGTCTTAATTTCTATTAGCAGTATCTTTGCGATTGATGGCAGGTGATCAATGCAGGCTAACATTCAGCTTAATAGTATATAGGGAAGGGTCAGCTCTCAGGAAGAGGGAGGCGGGAATGGGGACACAGGTGTTTGTAATGTAGGTCTACTCTCAGACAGTGATAAAAACGTGTGTGTACGAGGACCTAAATGCCTCCGCTGGGTCCTGACAGCCCTATTGCTTACTGCAATTAGCACCACCTTACACAATCCGCTGAATAGCAGTTTACAGTGTGAGGCTTTTTAAGCGGGCACACACACATTGGCTCAGATTTACCATTTCTAATCAATGAGGAGAGTTCTTCTTATGCTCCCCAAAGGCCTATTAATGGCCTCTAAGGTGTGCATATTATCCACATTCAGCATTCAGTTCCACACAATTATTCTCCTCTGACTGACCTGAATTAATGTTGAGCAAGGGAAGTTTGGTCCCCGCATCCCAACACTGTTTTGTCCAGTCTTGTCTCTTAAGTAGGACATTGGGAATATTGTAAAATGTGGGGCTAAATTAGCAGTAGGCCTAATAGATAAGGAGGGAATCAACACTGGTGTTAGTCCTCTTGAGACAGTATAGCTAACGGCTAAATGGCCTCACAGATTTACTGGATACCATCAACTACAGAAGGATACAAAGCTCTGAAAATGATCAGATGTGTTCAATGTTTATTTATAGCGATGTATTTGTACCGAATCTACAAAGTATCAAACTACATCTCAAGTTGATTTTGTGTAAATTGTAATAACTTGAATGTAAAACAAGAAGCATTAAATACTGCTCATAGAGATATTTAATGTCAATGAGTTTGTATAATTTATTTGTATAAAAATACGCATTACAATATAGTCATCTGGTACACCAGAAACGGCCTCAAAAAGGACCAGAGGACTGAATCAAGTCTATCACTTAAGAAAACTCAACAAAAATTTAACATCACAAACTTTACTGTAGTTACAGATGGCATTAGATGCTGCTGGATTATATTGTATTGTAGAGATGTTGCCCTTTTTTTGTCTACCCCCTGTATTTTGTTCATATTGATCGTCTTTAGTCATTACATGAGATTATTATTATAGTTTTGTAATCCCTTTTGTAATCTGTTGTCTCTGGACATTTCCTGCAGCTGGGCCAAAAAGACAATCCTGCTGTGGACGCCATCATCCAGGGATTGAAAGGCGTAGTGCATCATGGTAAGTAATGGGAAAGCAACCCCCATCCCCCACCCTTTCATATTTAACAATCTTATATTATGTGTGTGGTGAGTTCTTTGTACAAAATCTCCTCCACATGAAACAATACTGTGGGAAATAAGTTCATCTGGGATATTCAGAAAGCAATCATCCTCTGCAAAATCTCATCATCGTCATCGTCATCACTGCTGTTCATGTTTTGGTTGATCTTAGAGGTACATTTGTTGTAACATTGCAGACATCGTGCTCCTTTCTACCTCCATAAAACAAAGATTGATTCTCTTGCTATCAGCTGCTTAAGCATAGGGCTCCGTTTTTTTAAAATCCCAAATTAGTCTAAACACAAGCTATGAGTAGAGTTTAACTTCAAAAGGCGGCAAAATTTGCAAGATACCGCCTCTCCCTTGCTAGTGTAACTCCGCAGGAGGAGACCCCCAAGGAGCTTCACTCACAGAGAAAGAACTATTAATTACATCTGAGCCTCAATTAGACAACACTGTTTTATACATTTACACTGTTAATGTCTTGTGGTGTATTCCATGGCACAATCCTTCATAGCATACCGCCTTAAATGAATGCTGCAGTGCTGACTTTACTGCAACCGTGACTTATTGTATGCAGACCATAAACAAATGTTTTAGCATGACTGTGTAATTCTTTACCGCATCTGGGGACGTAGCAGCTCTGTTTACACGCACGTATGACTTGTTTTACAACCTGCCGCTGACATTATATGAGCATAAGCGTACACCGGCAAGGAAATGTAAATGGATGTATAGAAGCATGGTGTAATTCCTCTGTACCGTGCTGGGCTTCACTGAATCATATCTAATTATCTCATTTTAATTTCACTCCCTGTACTTTCTGTAGATGGATGTTTGATGTTGTGCAGTGTGCGCTGTTGAGACTGTGACTTTTTATTTTGGGGATTTTCTTTTTTCTGGTGGGAGAGAAAATATTTTGCAACTTTCTGAATGAGCAGCAAAAGATGGGGAAAAGGCTCACTTAGAGACCACTAGAGAGTCTTAAACCTGTGAATTGGCCATGAAATCAGTAAAATGGGTCACTTTGTTCAGTGATTTTTACAGTTCAAATTTAATTGTAGTAGTTGCAATAAACCTTTTCCACAGAAGCTATTTTGACATGAAATAGAGTAAACCCATTACGAATGATACTAATTAAGGTTCTGTTCCATTCAGGTCAAACAGGGTGCTGCTATTGTAAATATTGGCTCATTGGAAAGGCTCTGCTACCTTAAATGGAACAGAGCCTTAATTAGTGTCATTCGTAACACCTGTGTTTACCCTCTTTCATGTCAAAATGGCTGCAGTGAAAAAGGTACATAAAGAACATTTTTCTTATTGTTCTGTTTTCAGCTGGGAGGTATTTACATTCCACTTTTCTTTTGTTACATAACCTTGATAAAGGCATGTTGCCAAAAAACATTAGTTATACTATATTACTTTCTGAATCTCCATCAGTCTCCAAAAGTGGTTGAACTCTGTAACTACACAGATGTTTGTGCAAACACCACAGTATCTCTCATCTCCCAGCTGAAAGAGAGATCTGTGTGGGTGTGGTGGTTTTTGGACTCTCTTCCTGCTGGCTGCTAAATGCCTCTCGCCTCCTCCCCCGTTAGGGTGGTTGGTTTTCCACTAGCTCGTTATCCCACAGTCATTCATCCATCAGCATCTCGGTGGCCCATGAGCGATAGGGCACGTACACTGTCTGAAGACGGAGAGAAGAAAGGCTGTGAATACTGAATTTGACTCTGAGTACAGATGAAGCATTGGGGCGAGGCTTCCAGTGCCTCAGTTCCTATCAGTCCTATCACCATGAACCTCTGTTTGTTTTGTTTATGTTTTGTTTTTTTAGATAAGGTCATGAGCTGTGAGAGATTGGATTTGACATAAATTCAGCTCTATTTGGGTCTCTGGTAATTCGTGGGGGGAAAAAAAATAATAATCTCACTTGCATAGCACACAAGCATTTTTTTCCCATGGCGTTGCCTGGTTCTGATCACAGAGGATAGAATAGATCTGGAAATCATTTGGATCTGTCTTAATCCCTGTGGCCCCATGCCACAGTTGTTACACGGAGCAGAGCAGGCTATCACCTAGCCACAGAGCACCTGTCGGAGAAGGCCATTTTATCTGACTACTCTCCTTTGGTCCTCTCTCTGCCCATCTAAGAACAGAGATCTGGCCAGAGTGATAACAAGTGCTGAGGCTTTTAACTGCTGTCACCATCATTCCACTAGTGGAGGTTTCAGGGAAGCAGTAAAACTGCCATAGGGAGAGTGAAATGAAACAACCTTGTAAATGTAGGTTTAAATGTAACTCAAGATATGCATGGTTTTCAGCAAAGCGTTGAAGAGTGAAAGATATGATATTTTTGGGGGGTGTAACGGTACACAAAACTCACGGTTCGGTGGGCTAGGTTTCGGGATCACGGATCAGTATTTTTTTGGTACAGCAGTAGGAAAAAACTAAAATGTAGAAAATAACATTTTTGTCACTCATTTTGAAAAATGTAAACGTTGAACAGTGGCTCTTTGGTTATAATGGCATATTGTCAGAAAGAAAAAATGAATAATTCAAATGTCAGTAATGCTGCTCTCTAAGCATTTGACCTGATGATAATTCCTGAACAACTGCAGCTTATGCTTATTTATGCAAGGCAGCAGGCACAACCGACTGATTAAAATACACACATAAAGGCACATTGTAGCGTGGCTTCCTTTTATCCTTTTGACTCGATATGGTCACATATCAACAGTGATAAACACTCCTATAACATTTGTCTTTGTTTTAGAACGGTATATCTGCAGTGAGTGGCTGCTTGAAAGCTGTGGGGAGAAGGATTTGCTTTCCAGTCTGTTTTTATCCTTTCTGCTCATTGACACATTCAGGTGATGCTGTCATAAATGATCTGAAGGGTTTCCACACACATATATATATATATATATATGCTTGTGGAGCAGCAACACTGCACCAGTGTGGCTAACTGGGCTAAGCTGAGTGGCATGCCACAGATGATAGACATCAGCTAATGCACTGCCAAAACTATCTAGGTAAAACGTGAGCTGTAGAATTTCTGTTCAATGCAAGTAGTACACATAAATAGATTATTTTGACGAGCTAATTGTTTGAGCCACAAGCCGCGCAGAACCTGCAAAGTCGCATACTGAACCCAATCTTCTTGTACTAAACGGTTCGGCACGAATACACTTACCGTTGGACCCCTGATATTTTTTTCGTCTAAATTAAGCACTCCTGCTTTTCATTTCTGTGTATTGACAAGTGTTTATCCCTTGCTTATCCAGAAAAGGAGACCAACCTCAGGTCATTCATCCTGAGGGATCTGCTGCCATCGTCAGTGGACAGTTATTACCGATACACCGGCTCTCTGACCACGCCACCCTGCAGTAAGGTCGTGGAGTGGATCATCTTCTCCAGACCTGTGTATCTGTCCCACTCACAGGTGCGTTAAGTCCACACACACACACACACACACACACACAGACAGACAGCTATATTCTCCACGCACAGTCAGATCCCATTTGCACACAGTCAGTGGATCACTTGCTGTCCAACAGTTTCGACGCACAAGCAATTTTTCCCCTCATCTACCTCTCCCCTATCTTCCCTTTTCCCTCGTTCCTCCCCAACTCCTCTGCATATGAAACCATAACAGGCAATATAGTGGATGATTAAGCAGGGAGGGGAAGCCAGTTAGTGGCATTTGAATGACTGTGTGAGATGGCTCTTATACATATATCATGCTGTTTGTCTTAGACGGTGGCCATAGGGTCTTAAATAGAACACTGCTGCACATGGAGGCTGGTTATCAATCTATTAAAGTTGTTCAAGTGCAGAAATGTTCATTAATTAAAATGTTCATTGATCTAAATTATTGCAATAAAAGTTTATTATATGTTTAATGAAAATTTTTCATTTTACGGTACTCACCTATGTGCTTTACAACAGCTCATCTCCAACTGTTTCTTGCCGTTTGTGATTTTGAGATAATATATGCCAAATCATGCCCCGTGCTTTTTGCTGATCCCACACAGTCCTTTGCTGCATCTTTTATACATACAATTCTTAGGTTACCCAGCTGCATATCCTCTAGAGCGTTCTGTGCTGTAGAAATTTCTGTGGAATTTTTTATCAACTTTCAGGAGTACAAATCTTTTGTTCAGAAATGACTTTTGCTGCAAGAATATTGACCACGGCTGCAATGTTTGTGACGCTCACAGATCGTCTTTTATGAACCTGTAATTCATTTCTCTAAGCACGCATAGGACACATTGATTTCACAGTATCTGTAATGTGTAGTCATTACAGCACGCGGCAGGAGATCATTCATGGCAATCAATGGCCACAAATTTGCCCCATTGAGAAGTTACAGCCCGGTAGGTAGCCAGGATGATGATTGAGGTCCGTGCCTGCTTGTGCCTGTGGTGTGAATGTTTCTTGCAAATGCTGTGCTCCGTTTATGAACAGTCAGCTGCTGGCAAGTGGCTACAAATGCAGTCCTGCATGATATATTATATTCAGCACACACACTTAAATGGCTTTTCTCTGTTTCTTTCCATCTAGCTCGAGGCCTTTTACTCCATCTTTACAACAGAGCAACAGGACCATGTCAAGTCTGTTGACTACCTGAGGAACAACTTCCGGCCCCTGCAGGACCTAGAAAATAGAAAAGTGTTTAAGTCTGCTATAAAAGACGCATGGCAGAAAGATTTGACTGAATCTGTGGGAAGCCCTCATAGCACTGAGGCTTCAAGAGGTAAGCTTTGTTGTCTGTATTGTATCACATTCTCCCTGTCGTTGGCACTATAGTGCTACTGGTTTAACCCAAGGATCTGTAATTACATCATTACTCACTATTTTATTAGTTCTGTACTTGTGAATTGCTCCCTAAATAACTCAGGAGTAGTCAGAGCCTGCTGTAAACTAAGGGCATGGTTATTGGTATCACTATTATTATTAAGTGTGGATTAGTATTACATAACGCACACTGTGTGCAGGCCAAGGTTACATCAGATCACATCCTGTCCAAAAGCTACCCAAAATCTTACCCAGTGCTGTGACACCATATCTACCTGATTATTTTCTGCAATTCTGCTGGTTTGCAACCTTGATCATTTGTTCGAATTGACCGTTCACTAAGCTCCGAACCCTTAGTTACTGTCACACTGCCTGTCAAGCTTCTGTTCTCGCTTAGGGCTGTTTACAATGATAACAGATTTACCATTGGAAATTCCTAGTAATTTTTTTAAACAGTGGGTTCATGTTTTCAGACAAAGGCAGACAAAAGCAGGCTTACCATTTTCTAGCCTTCCACCTCTGATTCTTCCAGTTGAAATGACAGCTGTGGCTGGCAGATTTTGTCAGCTGTAGCAAGTTAACTAATTAAGCTAACGATGAGTCTGTCTGTTAAAAATGCATTTCCACCTAACTTTTTAATGTTTCCAGCTGTCTTCTTTTGAAACAAGAAGTACTTTTAGTATGCACTTGATGCTTACATCTATAATATGATATGAAGACTGAGGCTGAAGCCGCATGTCCGAGGCAAAAAATTGCTAGTTGTCTATTTGACCCATGTGCAGTGTAAGACTTGGAAATAATGAAACAGCCTTGTCCTGCAATTACAGTATAGGGCTAGTAAGTACTAGTGTTGTAAGAATGCTAAGGAAAAAAGGATATGCAAACTCTTGGCCTTTTGAAGTAACACTAAGTGGCCCCTATAGGTTATAAGCTAATGAAGCTGAAAAAGGAAATCACCCTTTTAAACTCTAAATGCCATATACACTTGTGGCATGTGGAGGAAACCAAACTTGACAGGCCTTGCTGAGAGATGATTGACAATCACTGTTTGGGGGAAGGGGTTTAGCGAATGGTCAGTTGGGTTCAGTTTGGGTTTTTGACAAAGACTCAGTTTTTCTTTAGGCTAAACAATATTGGAACTGCAGTGAAAATGATTAATGAGATTGTTGATGGTATTTCGGGACCAAATTCAAAAAGCTCGTCTAGCTGCTCTGCATGGAGACATATTCATAAAACCCAGCTTGAATTAGTGGATCAGTAAATATAATAGGACCATAGAAGGTAATTCTTTTTTTCCTTCCTTTCTTTTTAGTAGGATAAAATTACTCACACAGCACAATTTGAATAATAGGTAATTATTCAAATTTCAGGAGATTTTTGGATAAAGCTTGTATAACGCACGTCATTCTCTCATTGTTACAACTCATTCTAATATCAAAGAACATATTAATACAAAGCACAGACCTCATGCAGGCATTGATTAGAGTATTTTTGTTTGTCTTTCTCTTTTATGTGTGCATCTTACACCGCTTGCTTTAACAGAACAGTACAGGATCTATGGAGACTAATGAGAAAGGCTGCTGCGCCTTAAAGTGGTGTTGTTGGTGTCTGGCGGGGAGAATTGATTGGGAATGCTTGGGATGAAGTTGGAGCACTCTAACAAGGCCGATCAGCAATCATCATTAATATGTGGCACAGCTAAAATAGACCCATACAAATTAAGTTGTGAAATTGCTTTTGTGGCATTTCAGTAGGCAGAATGAATGTGGACTAGTGACTCTCCATTTTATTTTTTATTTTTTTTGCCCCCGCTACCCCCTCCCTCTGGCTCGTTTTCTCTTTGTGTCTCTCTCGCATTTCTATTTCACTCTGTTAAAATGTAAGAATCCATGCTTAATGGGAGGTGCTGGGATTGTCAGTCTTATCTTCAGTGGTGACATCTGTCAAGGTTGTGTAAGGGGCGATATTTTATCTTCGCAACGTAAATTATGGCTTTGCTTGTAAATGCTGTGAGAGCCAGGGCCACACCATGACTGAATATTCTATCAGTGGCTTTTATAGCCATGAAAGTTGTTTGGCCATTAGAGATGCATAGCTAACCTTTTTCTGGTTTAAAAGACACAGGTTGCAGATTTGTTTGTGTGGTGCAAATTCAATATTTGTCCAGGAATAATGCTAAGATATACAGTATATGGCAGCATTTATTTTATCCTTTGTGTTTACTCTAATACTGTATATCTGCATGTGTAACAACAAGCCTTTTTCACCCTGTGCATGCAAGTGGAGACCAGATTTAGTGTCCCTCTGTTTAGAATTAATGGTGATATTGCCCATATGGCTGCAACTGACTTTTATCTGTTGAATGTACAATTTTTATACAGAGAAAAGCAGAAAATCCTCATGTTGCAGAACCTGAAACCAACAAATGTTTGGCATTTTTGCTTGAAAAATGACTCCGTTATCTAACTTCTTGCCAATGATTTTTCTCTCAGTTGACTAATCGATTAATTGTTGCAGCATTATTAACGTAGTGTAATATTGTTATGTTGTTAACTTGTTAAAACTGTGGTGGTAACTGTAAGAGGGGTCACACATTATCACAAATAAGTACGGTAGTTTTGTGTAGGTATTTAGCACAGATGACATGCATAACTGGAATTATTTATGTTTTAGTGTTTGTGTTTTCAATTAAATTGTTGTTTTTGCCATCATTCCAATGTCTGCGCACAGCCCCTTCAAAACGTATTGTACAGCATTGAGAGAAGAGAAGCAATGGAACTGCTGTTTGTTGACAACAGTCAATACATCCCCTTTATGGTAGAAGCTGCCAGGAGAAAGATTTATGCTCTGCTCTGAGTGGTGTTGCAGACTGGGGTGAAACTACTACGAGGCTTATTTTGAGAGGTTACAGTGTTTGTATTCACAGACAAATAATAGGATTTTCTAGAATCACTAGCATGTTAGGTAATTCTGCCAGTGATGAAACATTAGGTACTATTCACTGTTTAGTTCTTACTGTATCTCAGTGTGTCTCTTTTAGTTGAACCTGAGATGAAGACAAAATACCATTTGCATACACATTTTGAACATATTTAAAGGAGCACGAATTGATTTAGCTGCTTATCTGCCATTATATTAAAAATGTTTTCATTAAATGAACAAGTGCCTCAGACCAATAAAGGTTTTTAATTAATACAGAGAAAATACAAATACAAATGCTAGTGCACCAGTGTTGATGGAGAAAAGGTGATGACTGTCATGACAGTAATCTGGCAGTAAAACTAAGATGATGTCTTTAGCGCTTGTTAAATGACTGTTGTTGAGCTACTGAAGTTGACAACGGACATCCAACGGGTTATAATACATTTCACACCTGTCACACCTCATCAACACCTCTAGATATTTTTGCTACTGTTTTTTTTCCCCCGTGCCCCTCTGACTGATTTCCTTCCACCCTGTCTACCTTTCACATATCATGGTACATAATTTGCACCATAGCTTCACTGTGTAAATGGAGAGAACTGTGGTGACAATTTCAATTTGACAGAAACCCTGTGTGCACATAATCAGTTGACACTGGTTCCTGATTGCTGTTGCCCTGATGTGTTGAGAAGCATGTCCAGATTGTCCTTTACTCATACTGACAGATCCCTGTGTAAATATCCATACTGCAGCCTACACTGCCACCTTGAGGCTGACGCACAGGTTTTCTTTCATCCTCTTCATGCATCCTGTTTAATGTTGCACAGATAGGAACTTGCAAATTAGGTATGGACAGGAAGTTGCCTTATTATCTGTACCGCATGTTTTGCACTAGACCAAGCTGTTAGGTATTCTCCCTCTCTGGAAGTGGTGTGGCGTGAAAAAGACACAAGTGTTTAGAGTGACAATCTACAATGACACCTGAATTTGTGCCTAACCCCAGTTAAGCCTCCCCGAGTGTTTTTGTTATTGAGTTACTGTATTATCTTGCACCTTTAGAGGTCTCTCGAGTGGAAATGGCTTTGAGTCAAGTCAGCAGCAGACAGTAATAATAGGCTTGTTAAAAGGCAACCTGCATTCTGCCCACACACATCATCGGACACAAATACGTGTGGTCAATCGGTCCTCCCAACCACAGCCTTTCGTTTTCACCCAACTGCATTCAGAAGATTCAAAAGTGATACTGTATTTTTTTTTATTTTTCTTAGTAGTCATTTTTTCCTTTCATGCTGCTTCTTTATGTCACTCAGCGCTTCTTTCTGGTCCTTCAGTGTGCAGCAGTGCCCCAGTGAGCATGAAGATCCAGCCGCTGAACCAGACAGCATTGATGGTGAGCTGGGAACGCCCCCTGACCGTCTACCACCCACCCATCACCAGTTACATGGTCTCCTATAGTTGGGTGAAACGAGATGTTGCTGATGAAAAGACCTTCACCAAGACTGGGGACCAGAGCATGGTGAGTATTATTATCAACTGCTGCCAACAACTACTCATATCAGACAAACGCACTTCTCTACAATATTATTTGTATTTTTCAAGATGGTGGTTTAAACAACTCTGATTGGTTTGACGAGCCTCAAATCTATCTGGCAGGATCAGTGACAGTGTGTATAAGAGGTGACAGGTTGTGATGAACTCTGCATGTGGCTGTTGGTTGATATGAGGGCCCAGACACTCCTCTGTCACTCACCTGTCTAAGAATAGACACGTAGGACTGTCACACAAGTCTAACTGATATATAGGCAACGCACTTTGACAAATGCACCTGTGGCCTTTTTTGTTTATTTACTTCAGTCTGTGATGCAGGTCAGTATATTATAGGCTCAAAGATAAAGTTACTTATAGCAAAATGTAATTCAGAAAATGGTAATATAGAAGACATATACAAAAATCCAGTCCGTTTTCAGGTAGTGGAGGCAGCTCTTTGAACACAAGTCTTTTAGTAACCGATGCACAGTATACCTTTTATATCTCAGTGAAGTTTTTGACACCAGTGATCATACAGTTCTGCTGGTGTGCCTTAAGCATCGAGTTGCCACTTCAGTTCTTACTGTGTCTCTCCAACAGAGCATTCACTGTCTCTATAGAAATATATCCTCCCCCTGCAGGAAATTACACCTACAGGGCTGTTCTTTTTCACACTATATATCCTTCTTCCCAGTCACATATCCTTCCAGTTGTGGGAATTCAGCACCCAGCTGTGCATCTCTTTAAAGCCCACTGACCCCCAGCTGTCTTGACAGTCTGCATGACTGCCTCTTTAGATATAAACAGTTCAGGGGCAAAACATTCACCCCCCTAGTTCAGAGACCTGGGATCAGTTCCCTGGTGGTAGAACCGCATTCTAGTGAACGCAGTTGGCATTGTCATGCGTGGGAAGCTGGTGAGGGATCATGTACTGTTGGTGCACTAGTGACTTCTACTGGTTGATTGGAGCAACTGCACAGAGGGGGTGGGGTTCCTTTTTAATGCTTAGAAACTAACTAATGACACCCATAACCCAATAATGTATTTTATTTCACTTGGATGTTTATATCTGTACATTAAAGAATATGTTTTGACATTCGCCTGTTCACATTCTACAATATTATTTTCTACAAGTAGTTTAGAAGCAAATTGTGGCCCAAATTTTGAGATCAAACTTGAATCCATCTTGTGTTTAGCATTTCAACTTTTAAAATGAAAAATATTTGAAAGAAATTGAAGTATTATGTGGAAAAAACATTTCTTACAAAGAAGCTTAGAGGCTATGGAGAAGCAGGTGTAAATAAATGTGCCATCAGGCGTCCTGCAGTAAAGATAAATTAACATTGATTTCCTCTCCTTTAGATTATTGTAGCTCATTTAACTCCACATCTCTCTTGCAGCTTGTTCAGAAACCTTTCAGAACACGTCTCTCTGATATTAAACATAGAAACCATCACGTTGCAATTTCAGTCTCCCTGTGCTGGTTACTTGTTACTTTCAGCGTCCCACAGCTACATTTACTGACCTTTTAACTCCCTATCAGCCATACTGCTCCCTGAGGTTCTCTGGCAGAGCCGTCGTAGCTCTGCAGGCTAGTCTTAATTTTCTGTGGTCTTGACACGAGACACAAGAGGGTCGAGCATTCTGTTATCCCCTATACTGTGGTAAAACCTGCTTGAGAAGCTTAGGCATCAAATAGGACGCAGAATGATTTCTTAAAACCTGTATTTGAACTTTGTCGTCTTGCAAGTTGAACGACCCATATGTTGACTGTTAAGACTTGTTTGTGAGGCTACTTGCTGTCTGTAACAATGATTAGACTGTTTTCTCAAACAATAGATTAATATGAATTTATTTTGTTGTTGTTGTTTTGATGTGATATTCTGTTAAGAGCTTTCTAAGTTTATGTTGTTATTGCACATGTATTGCAAATGGCTGACAGAAAAGAATGATGAAATGTGTCCACAAGGTGCTCTATGTAGTTACACTCCATTAATAGTCCATCAGGCACTTCACTGACAGTATTTTCTCCACTTCTTTTTCTGCTGTCGGTTTTTCTTATTTTGTCTACTTCATTTCCATTTCAATTTTCAGTTTCTATCTCTGGACACCTGTTATCTGAATTATTTCCGAGAAATACTACCTCTCCAATACCAGAGGCAATCAGCCACCCGTTCTGAGGGCAATTTTTAATATAAGTAATACCCTCTGCAAACTTCACTACACAATTAAATTAGACAGGAGTGAAGGTTTTAAACATCATTGAACGTGTGGGTCATACAGTGTTGACAGAACAGTGGTTTAGCGTAATATATTTTTATTTTAGCCATTTTGAATGAACAGCATCCAAGACATCATGTACCATATGCAAGTGGTCTGAAGTGTGTACGTATGTGCATCTTTTCTCTTGCAGAAAGCAGTCATCACCAATGTGTCGCCTGACGCCCTGTACCTGTTCAGAGTGCAAGCTGTGTGTCAGCATGACCTGCGCAGTGATTTCAGTCAAACGCTGCTGTTCAGAGGTATCTGATCACCCTCCAGTCAATGAGTCATTGTGCATTTAAAAAAAAAACTAATCTTGCATGTCAGACGTATAAAATTGATTTTTGTTTTACAGCAAATACAACAAGGATATTTGAAGGGTCTCGCATTGTGAAGACGGGGATGGTGAGTTGACCAGAGGATGGCAGTGCTTCTTTTTTAGTCTTTCTTTTTGTATCTGTTACATTCATGTTGGATAATCATGTTTTCTCTGCTTGTCTCTCTTAGCCCACAATTTCTCCAGCGTCTTCCGCGGACATGGCTCCCATCAGCTCTGGTTCCTCCACTTGGACGTCCTCTGGCATCCACTTCTCCATTGTCTCCATGGCAACCGGCATGGGCCCCTCCTCCAGTGGCAGCCAAGCCACAGTGGCGTCAGTGGTGACGAGCACCTTGCTAGCAGGCTTGGGCGTAGGCGGAGGGGTCATCTCTTCTTTGCCAAGTTCTGTTTGGCCCACACAGGGGCCCCAAGCCACGCAGAACCCCACCCGTCCATCCGCTTCGCCTGCAAAGTCCAGCACTGAGCAGGCAGCGCCCCAGGGCGCCGACGCAGACACCCAGTCTGAGGAGAAACAGGCTGAGAGTGAGGGCGAGGAAGAGGAAAAGGAGGGGGAGAGAGAAGGAGAGCAGGAAGAGGGACAGGATGACAAGAAGACAAAGAACAAGACTGCACCTGATAATGAGGAAAAGCAAGGGAACAACACTGTGGCCAAAGAGCCTTTAATCCCCACCCCCGCATCCACAGCCAAAGTGAAAGGAGAAAGAAAGCCTACAGTCAAAGGCACCACAGTACCTGCAAGCACTGGCGATGACCAGTTGGTCAACGTAGAGAAGAAGCCCACAGATGTAAACGCAGTCTCCACTCGTAATGAGACACAGATTCCCGAGAGCTCCACACTGTCTCCAAAGATCAGTAGTCTCTGGCCTTTCTCGGTCCAAACTGGTGAGCAGAACTCTCTCTCCCACACAGATATGACAAAGTATTGTTTTGGGTTTTTTTTGCCTGTCAGTTTTAACATTCTTCCCAAACAGTGACATCCCATTTAAATTCTCAGTAGGGCTTTTTCTCTTGTTGTCAGCTATCAAACAAGACAAGGCTTCTCCCCAAAGCAGAGTTCTGGAAACACTACCAATAGTTATAGAGCCCAATTTAGCATAACAAATAATTTCATTTAAGACAGTAACTAAACTGGTTACCATCCCAGTCAAAGAAAAAGCTCCAGGCTTTTGTCACTATAGCACAGAGGCCTGAAGACAGAAGTAAAGCCGTCTGCCGCAGGGGTTCTGCCTCGAGGAATTCTTTTGAGCTTGTTTCAAGAGACAGTGTGTTTGAAGATTTTTTGCCAGATTTGTATTTAATTTTATTTTTTAGCCTTTTTTTAGCCTTTTTCTTTTCATTGTCATTAGATTTTATTATGATCGGTCTTGAGTTATATGTGTCTCATGGTAAATTTATACCTATAGGTTTATTATGTCGTATAGGTTTCTTGTAAATGAGCTAAATGTTGTAGTCAGGGCTCAGGTTGGACTAGTTTGGGCTCTGGTCTGTCAGGGCTTTAACTTTTGAACTTAGTTAAAACTCTTCACAGTAACCCCCTGAATTTAGTCACTTGTGAAACCCTTTTGTGAGCATGAGAGTACATGTGGAGAAAGTTTTGACATTAGATATATAATGGTGAAGGTTAAATCCCCTACAGTATCTGCAGAATTTGAACATTTCTGACTTCTGCAACCCCCAGTGATAGCATCAAAAAAAGCACTGTACTGTACTGTATACTAATACACCCCTGCCCTCCCCTGGTGGATCTGACCCGGAGACAAAGAATAAAGGGCTCAAAGCAACATATGGACTACTAATTTTCACCAAGATTGTCAAAGTTTATCAAAAAAATGCCTTCAGAATACTTTGAAACATGCTATACATTTCATAGAAATCCTACACATAGGCACTTTCAAGTTAGAAAATGAGTTATACAATATATTTATGAACATGCTTTATGTTTCAGAGAGGACCATCTTGTCCAACGTGACCCGATCCCCTCACCCAGGGATGGGGAGGATGGTGTGGATCGTTCCCTTAGTGGTGGTGTCTGCTCTCACCCTGCTCTGCCTCATAATGCTGCTGATTGTGATGGTCTACTGGAGGTGAGTAGCATTGTACTGCAAATGCCTCATCTTGATACAAGTACCACTCATACCTCTCTCAGAGGTGTGAAAAACTACCCAACCCTCCACCCACACTGACCCCATCCTTACATGTTTTTCACTCATTTTGGTTTAAGTGACACGCCCGCATGCATTTCCAGATTTTCCGGTCAGTCTGCTCCACATTCAGACCAGACTAGCTTGGCTGTGTTTTATGCATATGTATGTATGTATGTATGTATGTATGCACATTAATCTTAAACAGCCTGGTAGTAAGACTGCCTGCACATCGTACATCAGGCCCATCACCCAGCTGGGTGAGGGTCAGGAGACCTGAAGGCCCTGCAGTGCCAGCAGGGGTCCCAGCTGTGTCTTCATCTGCTGGGCTAATTTCCAGCTACACTATTGGAGCCCTAGTAATTACACAGGCCAGGCCACAGGCACATGTGGGATGGTTAATTAGTTACAAATAGCTCTATGGACCATTTCCTCAGCTGGTCCCATGCATATTTGCTGTCTGCAAAGGGTCTGCTTGTAATTAGATAACATTTTATTTATTTACAGTCTGAAATGTATTAATAATGTGTTAAATACATTTGCCTTTTTTAAGTGTGAGATCACTACAGCAAATGTTTTTGAGCCAACAACACTCTACTGTGGCATTTTATGGTGTCGGTTAATATAATAGTGCAGTATAAATAACAGCCTAGTTATCAGCTCCATAGAGGTGTTCAAAAAACAGACATTTCAAAACAAGACGACTGTAACTAATTCAGGAGGTGGCTGAATTACTGAGTTTTGGTATTTGAGTAGAAGTGCAGAGGCAGGTTTGAGATTAGAAATGGCCATCACAGCTGTTGTTGTGACAAATCTGACAGTTTGCAGACAATGGCTGCTTCCCTGGGGAAAAGACCATGATGGAAGATGAAATCAACCCGTTCACACTCTCTTTACTCTTCATGCTCTGCGTAGTCTCTCTTGGTGTCAGTGCAGCTATTAAAGCCAGTGAGATTCTCTGCTCACAGATGTTTTGGTCATTAACAACCTAATATCACAATCCATTTGCTGTATAAGTGTTTATTTAAAAATACGTGATCAATGGACCATCTTTTAAAGTTTGATACGCTTGTCTTATTTTTAGCTCGTTCATGTTTGCTGTTGATCTCAGGTTATGAGTCAGTCTACACTGAAATTAATTGCTGGCATTACAGTACACATCTGGAAGTTTCTGAGGCCTGAGGCTTTTGTTGAGAAACTCACAGATGTTCAACTGAGAAAAAAAATCTCATTTCGTGTTAGTGACTCAGTACTGCTGATGCCTGTGTTAAATAGGATGCCTCTCTCCAGTGACATCCATTCAGAAAGCCTATTTCATCCCAGTTTCCATTCCCCCAAAGCAAACTATTCTTCTGAGGCCACAGGAGAGAATCAGGGAGGGGGTGTCAACTATGCTGGTTAGTTAGCCACACCACATCTGCACCCACAGGGAGCCATTAGATTTGGAGGCTGTGACGCAATCCAGGGGGGAGCTCTCCTCCCTTTTTGTTTTTCACCATTCCCTCTGTCTTTCTTTCTCTCTCTTTCTCTCTTTCCCTCTCTCTCTCCCTCTCTCTGTTCTTCTCTATTTCTATATCTTTTAAATGCACTGCATTTTATTTTTTTTCCATCTCTCTTAAAGAATGACAAACATCTGCTCCCTCCTCTGCATCAAATACAGGTAGGATTAAATGTGGGAAATGCTGGCACTGAGATAAAACGTGGGACTTTTCTGTGCATTTATTAGTGTACATTGTGTGTATATGAGCAGGAGGTGGAGGCTGGAGAGCATGTTCAAGGTGTTCAGGACCGTAGAGACTTTTTTTTTTTTTTTAAACGTATCATTTAAGAATTGTTGACTTTTGATGTATTCACTGTGGGGAATCTTGAACATAGAGTGTTTTAGCCTAAAAAAAATTACAATTCATCTTTTTATAAAGCTGTAATATATATATATATATATATATAATATAATATATAATACTACTATATTTTATATATAATATATATATATATATAATTTTGGTATTCTCTGAAGATCATGGCTGCTTTTGAACTATGTAAAAATTTGGGAAGCATTGTCCAACAGAGGGCGCAAACATTTTGGCTTTTTTAAAAGAACAGGAATTGCCTACGGATGAGTAATGAATATCAAAAGTTTAATCTGGTCACAACAAATTTTTTTGTCAATACAACTTATATAAATGTCTATACATTGAATAGCAGCTGCTGGCAGCAATCTCACACATTGCGTTTTCTCCAGAAAACAAACCTTTTAAGTTGATTTTGTTGTCCT